TTATTTTTATATCATAGCATTTCTAGGTTTTTGCAACAGGGTGAGAGGAGTAATCTTATGATCTTATGTGGTTGTGACTCTGTCTCAGGGTGGAAAATTACAGCAAGCGAGAAGCAGAAAGGAAAATTCTGTTACAGCAGTCTGTGGCAACTGCAGTGTGAGACAAGGTGGGGATGCAGCTGCAGCTGGGTCTGCACGACATCCGGGTGGGGGTCTTGGTTACAGCATAGCATGGCACAGCATGGGTGCCTAATGGCCACAGCCAGGCAGGACACAGCCAGGTAAGTACTAGTTCCTCAACTAGGTTTTTAAATAATTTTTTTGTATTAGTGAATTAAAACAAAAAATATCTTTACTCCACTTAGAAATACCACATTTTAAATATTAACTAAAGCAGTGTTTCTTAAACTGTGAACAAACCATTTAGTGGGGTCTGACCAGCATCTTTACTTAATGAAATAACAAAGATCAGAATACCTCACACATTTTAAAAGTATGTTTTGCAAAATTCTTGTATCAGTTGTTTGTGCATGTGGGGTGAAGGTAATTATATAAAATATATTTTTGTCTGTCACAGCAGAAACCTGTATGAAAGCCACTAAAGTTTTAGGAATTAGCATCAAACACTCAAAAGGATTTTCAAGAGGGTGAGAGTGAGTGCCAGCAGTTCTCCAATTGCTGAGTTACTAGGGCACCAGCAGGGGAAAGATGGGGTGCAGAGTCACAAGCTGTATTCAAGGCAGAAATTTTGTAACAAGAAACAAACAAGTGCCCAATCATTGCAAGCAGGATCTAAGGACAAATGAGGGCCATTTGAAACCAGAGGACCAGACTGAGTTCCTGCACTTACACCAAGACAGCTATCCAAAAATGGTCCCCCCATCTGGGGTGAGGGATGAAAGAGCCAGAGAGGCAAGGATCCACTTGGCTTTTAGCTGGAACCATAGAGGGAAATCACAGATTTTGTCCAACCTTTTACGGTCACCCCCTACCTTTTGCTCATGAACATGATGCAAACTATTAAGTACTGCAGAAATGTCACACTGTCTACTTTTTGAAGTGTTTTTATGTATTTCACATATATGTGGTTACATCTGAAATTAACAAGTCCCTACTAGGCAGAGCAGGGGATATCAATCACACTCACTGATGGCACAGAAACGCTGGTGTTGTTGGCACTGGCTGTTTCAGCACTCAGCCTGGAGGTTCCCAATTCTTTTCCAAACAGTTGCTGTTCCAAAAACAGCTAAGAGCCATTTAATGCTGCCTCACAGAGAGAACAACCCTACACAAGACGACTGCACATACACTCCTATTCAATTTAACATCCATTTACTATACAATGTAATTAAAAGAAACAAATTCTTAGTTTAAGTAAAGAAGTTTGAATTTAGTGAAAACTCCCACAGCATTTCTTACAGACATATTACTGGCTAGACAATGCACATCTCTCCTATTGTAGGTAATATTTGAAAACCAATTAATTTAATCTATTATCACCAGGCTAAAGAATAAAAATCATATGATAATCTCAATAAATTCATAAAAATACTTGTAAAAATTAATATCCATTCTTGGTAAAAAATTTCACCAAACTAGGAATAAAAGCAAATTCCCTCAACCGATAACAGGTATCCACAAAAACCCTACAGTTAACATTGTATTTAGTGGTAAAAGACTGAATGCATTCCTCTGAGGACCAGGAAAAAGGTAAGAATTTTTACTTTCACCATTCCTATTCATCATCACATTGAAGGTCCCAGCCAGTGCAAAAAGCAAGAAAAAGAAATAAAATTCATATAAATCAGAAAAGAAGATACAAAATTGTCTGTGTTAACAGATGAGTACGTATATAGAAAATACCAAAGAATCTTGGGGAAAAAAAACTTACTAGAACTAATACAAGTATTTTCTCAAGATTTCAGGATGTAAGGACAATATACAAAATTAATTTTATTTTTATATATTAGGAATTAACATTTAGAAATTTAGATTTTTAAAATACCATTCACAATAGCACCCAAAAACATGCATTCTTAGAGATCAATTCAATGAAATATGTATAAGACCTATTCTCTAATAACTCCAAAACACCGCTAAGAATAATCGAAGAAGAATAAGTGAAAAAAACATATGTTCATGGATCAAAAAACTCAAAATTGTTAACATGATTATTCTCTCCAAATTAATCTATATATTCAGCTCAATCTTATCAGAATCTCAGCATGTGTGTTTGTAGAAATTATCAAGCTGATTCTAAAATGGAAATGGAAATGCAAAGGACTTTATTTATAATAGACCTATCAATTTTGAAAAAGAACAAAGTTGGAAGAATCAAACAACCTGATTTCAGTACTTACTACAATATTGTAGCTTACTAAAGCTACAATAATCAAAGCAGTTCCTAGTGGCAGAAGACACGTAGAACAATTGAATAGAATAAAGAGAACAGAAATATGAGGGTACTTCAAAAAGTTCGTGGAAAGATTTGTACTGTCTTTTAATTCTATTTCTCTATGAACTTCTTGAAATATCCTTGTACACACACATTTATATGATCACTTTATTTTCAACCAAAGTAACTCAATGAGGGAAGAATAGACTTTTCAACAAATAATGCTGCAAAAATTTCATATCGGTGTGGAAAAAATAAAACTCCACATTAACCTCACATAATAACACAAATTAAGTTGACTGGAACACTTAATCTACAGTTTGGGAAAATCTTCTAACACAAAGCCTATTTTAAAATGAAGTGCTGAATATCTCACGTAATTTATTAAATATTGTACATTATGTAGAAATTGCAATAGTTCTGCATCATCATAAAGTTGAAAATTTTAAGTCGAATCATCATAAGTTGAGACAGTCTGTATATACATATAATGGGATACTACTCAGCAAGAGAAAGAAATAAACTGCTGATACACCCAACAGCACAAATAAATCTCAAAAACACGCTAAGTGAAGAAGCCAAATCTTCCCCCAAAATATGTACCATAATGACTCCTTTTATGTGAAACTCTAGCAAAAACAAAACTAATCTACAGTGATAAAATACATCAGCTGGCTAGCCCTGGTGGAAGTGGGGGTTGACTGAAAACATTTCGAGGTGATGGAAATGTGGTGGGGGTTCCATGGGCATATCTAAGTTATACCTCAATAAAGTTGATTTTTAAAAAAGAAAAACTGGTCCCTGACTGAACTTGAGAGTTAAACATAGGCTTCTCAGTTCTTAGGCAGAGTTTATAGTTGAGGTGGGAAGGACCTCCTTTCTAGCTGCACTAAGTACATTTAAATTCATCCAACTGCATCTTGTCCTCCAAGACCTTTGGTTATGGTCAAAGTGCTGTCTTGTCCCCCCACTGACTGACAGAATGCGTTCTTGTGGGTAATTCACTATTGAGAAGACACATTGAAGAAGCCACTGTCACAGTTAAGGAGACTTCCCTAACAACTCCTTTAATCTTTCATTATTTGGTCATGGGTAAGACCAGCATCAAATATAAGGAGCCTTCACTTTAGGGTATCTCTGGTCCACAAGTAAACTGAAGGGGAAAATGTCAGGAAAGTAGTATCCCCTCCCCCCCCCAAAAAAAGAAAGTAGTATCCATAACAGATCTCAGATCACCACTAAATCAAAGAAGACTATGTAATCTGAGATAGAATAAGTGTGGTCTAAAAACCAAGACTGTAAGTAGCTTTAGGGGATGAAACATGCCAAGTGTAACTTTTTGGGTTGCAATATATGAGATAATGCCTTAGAATAGTGTTCCCCAAAGAGTGGCACAAGTGCCAGTGGTGAGATATAAAATGATTTTAAGGGTTTCTGAGATGAATTGGGGTGGTAAACAAACAATATTAAATAATATTGAATCACATAATGACTTCTCTAATTCTCTTAGTTTTTCTGGTTTTGTATCAAAACATCTCATTTCCTGCTAGTATATCTTTAATGCTTCTTTCTTCTCTCTTTTAAACAAAAACACAAAATACCTAACAAATTCAGTAGTATTTTTGTTTGTTTGTTTGTTTACATAGTTATCTTCTATTTATGGCAAGAAAACTAGTTTTTAATTTGTGGTAGTGATACTAAGTTTCTGTATAAAATAAATGCTTTTCAGTTTAAAAAGGCAGTTTATGAAAAAACAACAAATAAAAAATACTATAGTAGTATATTGATACAGTGATATATGAACACCTGAGATTAGATAACATTGCCTTAAAATGTTAGTTTGTTAGGAAAAGTAGGTATCTGTGTATATATATTAATATATCAATAAGTGTTAAATTATTACTGTATTAATAAATATTAAAGAAAATTCATTAGCAGGACCATTTTCATATCATAAACTAGCTTTTCATTCAGAATTACGTTCCACTTAATGTTTCCCAAAGGTTTATATTCCAGGTTGCTGATAAAAGGCCAGATTAAGATTTTCAGTATGTTGTAAACTGGGATAAAGCACCATGAAATTGGGCTAAAGGCAGAAATATATCTAAACAATAATGAAGGGTCAAATTCCATTCTGCCTTTATCTCTCTGCTAATGAATGTTCTTACTTAGATGTGGGCACATGGAAAAGATATGCAGAAGGTACCCATGAAAAAAATATTCTGTCCCCATAACAGTTGGCAATCTACCATTTTTAGATTTGCCATTTTTTTTACTTTTTTCTTCATATACATCTCAATTTCTTTCCTTCAGAAGAATCCATGAAAATTTACATTTTACTCTAGGCCCATTAATAACTTCAAAAAATACAATTCACAGGGCAAATGTCTTCAAAATTGTTATGCTGCTGTCAATGTTTTGACAGTGATGCGTAATTTTTTTAAAAAATCAACCTCAGCTAGACTCTGGAGAATTTTATCAGTCAAAAACAAAAAGAGAACTGTAAAACAGATTTATTTAAAGAAACATGACAGTTTGATTTCTACCACGCTTATAGTTTCCCAAGAGCAAAATTAACTTTTAAATGAACAGATAAATACCTTACCTGTTGGAAGGTGCAATGTTATGTTGTTGCAAAAATCTGTGAAGCAGCATTCAGTTTTAGTGACATTGTTGGAACTATGACAGAAGACTTGAGCATTTAATTCTGGGAGGGAGACACAGGATTTGATCACCTGTTCTTTTCCATTGGTTAGCATGACTGATGCCCAACATGCTCCTTCTGTTTGGCAGGTGAAGTTTGAAGAGTCGCACAAAAGACATACACACTTCAATCCTGGAAAGAGTAAATAAAAGCTTTAAAATGCAAATGATATCATGCAAATTATTTCATAATATTTGAGAATAGAAATCCAATTTTAATGAAGATTGAGGAATGGCTTAAATAAACTGCTTGATAAACACACAATAATGCAATTCTTCCCTCTCAGTCATATGTTTCATTACTGTCATGTGTCCTCCAAGACCTTTTGTTAGAGTCAAAGTACTGTCCTGTTCCCACACTGACTGGCAGAATGTGGTCTTGTGGATAGTTCATCAAAAAGAAGACACATGGAAGAAGACACTGGCACAGCCAATAAGCAGACTTCTCTCCTTACTCCCATAATTTTTTGTATTTGGTCATGGTTAAGACCAGGATCAAATATAAGAAACCTTTACTTTAAGGAGTACAATTATCATTTACTATTGCTAGCATTTTCATGAATGGATTCAGTTACTACTATATTTTAAAATATTCTCCTCATTCTTGTTCTATACCTCTTCTTAAGCTCGAATTCCCAAATCAACAGCTCATTCCCAAATCAACAGCTCCTGTGAAATGCTAGGAAACAGTATCACAGCAACCAAGGGGAGCTGTCCAGCATCACTTGCAGAACATTAAATTGTTATTATGGCCCCAGTGTAATCAAACAATCCAGTGTGTTCTGTTCATTTACCCTTTTTACATTAAACTTTTAAGCAAATGTGCTAAACACAAAACTAACCATTGATATTTATAGCTCTGGAAAAATAATTGCAATTCTTTTTATTTATATTCTGTGGTATTTGAACATTGTTGCTATTCCTATAGTACCTTTAAGGCATTGATGAACCATTATACTTAATCCACCTCTTCACTAAGGGACACAACTTACAATTAGAGTCATTTAAACATTGACCATGACCTTCAGGCAATATTCATTAATGCACACACCTATTCCATAAAGCTAAGTGCATTGATAATATAATTTAATATATCTGCACCAATAAAACTTTTAAAAATTAGACTTTGCTGAATTAATCTGTTCACTTCCATGTCTCCTCTACATTTCCCACTTACTACACACACACACACACACACACACACACACCACACTAACTCACATGTTCAAAGTGGTGCAGTATTTCTGTTTTGATGTAATAAAGAGCCCAGTGGTGGCAAGCAATTTATTCAAATTTTATTTAAATACACTTTTTCTAAATATTACAATACTAGATAAGCTTTTTTGCATTCGTATTATTTGAATGAACTTATTGTTAAATCATAACTGGCCCCCACTGTTTTCTGAATGTCCAAAATTGTACCACACAATCATTGTTTTTAAATTAAAGTCTTCAAGTTGCTAATCACTCAAATTAGACATAATTTTATACCTGTAAAATATCTGATACATTAATGGCAACTTTTAATCAACTTCAAATACCAATATGGGAGCAAAAATGGGTAATATTCCTATACAACTAAATATGTAAGAAAGAACAAATTACATACTAATCAGATAGAAATTTTTCTCTTCTTTCAGTAATTTTTCTTGATTGGCAAAATACCATTCCTATAAATATTTTTATTAATATATCCTAAGGTAAAATGCTATTTTTGTTATCAACACTGGACCAAGCAGACCAGCTCACTCTCCTACTTATTCCACTGGTAATCAACATAAATAAATAGATTCTCTCATCAATACTTATGTGCTACAGTAGAACCATATATTCTAGATTGAGTGGGGTTTCATAGAGCTAGATAGATATAATCTAATAACTTAAAAAATGTTTTGCAGCATTTTCCTTGCGTAAAAGAGAGCTCATACAACAAGTTTCCGTTCACTCAGGTGTTTTCTGACAGTGGAATCTCTTTAGTATTTTCCAATTCCAATCTGACAAAGGCCTTCAAATCCTGATTATACTAGCTTTGTAAGCTTAGGTATTACTTGGCCCATTTGTGCCTCCATTTCCTTGTATGAAAGGTAAGAATAATAACAACATACCACCTAATCGTGTTATGGTGGTGAATGAATTAATCTATGTAAAGGCCTTAGACCAATGTCTGGCACATAGGAACGACTATATAAACATTAGTAACTATCTCTCCTACTACTGGAGGAGGTAAAACTGGTTGCCTTATGCAAACAATTGAAATACATTTGTAACCCATAAAGAAATGGCTGAATGAGTGAGGGTGCTGAGACCGTTTAAAAGGCATAATGAAGAAATGCATCTCTTTCTGCTTTACCAAGAGTGAGCTCAATGCTCTTGTTCTTTTAATGGTCAAGTCTGGATCCTAGACAGTCACACAGCAGGTGGAGTATGGTGATGGTCCAGACAAAGAATTCAGGAAAAAACAGAAGGTCCCAGCCCTAGTTCTGTCAGTAACTTGCTGGCTGACTTTAAAGAAGACATTTAACCTTACAAATCTTCAGTGCCTTCCTCTGAAAATGGAAGTGGGTCCAGAAATCTTGACCTCTTATATACTACCAACATTTTATGACAAATTTTTAAGACAATTCTACCTACCTATTTTCTGAGGAAACAGGTGGTCAATGAAAAGTCAGTATCATGTGCCTTGCATCTAGAATAAATAATCTCACTTTTCAGTTTATCTATATTCTGTATGAAGTAAGCCTCTAGGTATCTAACTTGATACTTTCTCTTCAAAGTAATATTGGTTCCTTATAAAAATGATTAGATAATAGTTCTTATCAAGGAGTAATGTGAATACTCACTGAATGTTTAACAGGCTATAAAAATTTCCTTCAGTTTAAAGTAAAAGGTACCAATCAGAAGAGTAATATAGACCTAAGTGATATAGGTAAGACATAGAAAATGACACCGTACTTTAAATCTTGCACAATGGAAAACACTAACAAAATTGAGGATTTGTTAATGATAATGGCTTCAAACATCTGCTAAATGTTCCCATTTATTCCAGGTCAGTTGGCAGTACTATAGCACAGACAGAGAACAAACAGCAAACTAAACGGGACCTAAGACATATAAGTAACACACGACATATTCAGTCTCTCATTTTTTATTTTCCACCAGTCCACTATATAGTCACATTTGGCATATAAGTTAACTGTATTTATATCAACCATCCTCAACATAGAACCCTTGTGCTGCCAATTAAAATATAAGTTGCCTATAGTAATTAGACTTATGCTTCATATTTTGTTTTTTAACAAACTAATGTTAATTGAGTCGATTATAATTGAATACTCCATGACAGGATAAATCTGGTTGTTAGCACTGATAATAGACTTGCCTTTGTTGCTTTATTTTATACTTTCCCATTACACTGCACTTGAGTCATATGGAAAGTGATAGCAAATGAGGTTGAAGGAGGCAATTACCCATAATGAGGAGGTCTATTAGATTTTTCCCCACAAGGAAGATTGCACTTTTTGTGTGTCTCTTCCCACCCCTATAATTATCCCCTTTTCTCCTTCTTTGCCAATCAGTCTGTAAAAGCCAAGACATCTGTTACCCACAAGACATCTGTTACCCACATCCACCAAAGGATGTGCACTTTCCTAATCAACCAGAAAATACATTTTCACCCATATTTACACGTGATGGCTAGCACACCCTAGTGTCCAGAAATGTAAAAATCATCAGACTACAAAAAAAAATTATCAATTTGCATTTATGGGCTTTTCTTATTAAGGTGCCAAATATTTGCTTGGCAAATATTAGTTATTTTGACTTAGATACTATTTTTAGTAAACTGGTTTCCTATTACCTGGGTTTCTTCTAATTGGGGTCTATAGTTTAAAATATCTATTGGCCAGTGTTTAACATAAACATTTGACACATACCCTTTTCTCTTTTCCAGACATTTGTTTGTTCTACTCAATTTCTGTAATTTCAGATCAGGCTATTAAACACAAAATATCTTTGATTCAAAAAACTGTTTCAGATTTGACCTGCTGAATATGTAATCTTTTCATCATTTGCAGGCTTCTGAGTTAACAAAATGAACAATTCAAGCTCATCAGTGTGCTGAATATGCAAAGCACAGCAACAGGAATACAATAGGACAACTAGCCCTAGCAAATCTGAAGGAAAGCCAGACAGGGTCAAAGGAAATCAGGCAAAGATCTTTCCTCTGTTTCTATTCCTTATCAAAATTTTAATTTCTTGCCATCTGGTCATTTCAATGCATTTGCCTTTCTCAATGGTGAGGAAAAGTATAATAGAAGGAGAAGGGTAGCATTAATAAAATATGGGCAACTTAAATGCAAACTTTTTGGCCAAGTGAATCTCAATAAAGATTCAGCTTATAGAAAGTCAGTTTGCTAGGCTGTATCCAAGAAAGCCCAAAACTCCAAAAATATGAGAATACACCCAGCACAAAGGAAAATTGTTCCTATATGCAGAGTGGCCAATACACCTTTCTTGAACATTCCTTGTTCAAGAAAGCCTCACCCTTATAGCTGAGAAGGAATGGAACCACCCTATGAGGAGGGATTCCATCCAGGAGAATTGCTGTATCTTCCAGCTGTAGGGCTCAATTTAGGAAGAGTCTAGCATGTTTTGAATTACAGTTCTAAGCATTTTGAATTTCCTCAATCCAAAGGCAGCACTGATGAAACCAGAGGAGGTTTCAGCTCACCTCTACTACAAACTACCTATGACTTGAGCCTAGTTTCTCAATCTCTCCAGATCTTAGATTCCTCAGCTGAAAAAATGATAAGTCCAGGAAATAGATGAGAAGATTTCTAAAGAACCCTCCAGTTTTATAGCCCTCTGCTGCTCTGAGCTTGTGTCACAATGCTCTGTATAAGTAACTTAAGGATTACCTTATCTACCACAGACACAAAGAGAGAGCTGGGGTTGGAAATAGCACCCACAGAAGGTTTGGTTTGTACCCCCAAACACTGATTGACATATCAGTGAGTGAGAGAATCCTACCAGTTTTTAATCCAGCAAAACTTCTCCAGTCAACATTAAAGATCATTTATCTTGTCCTATATTTATCATATGAGAATGTAATTTTTTTTTTACAGTATCAGCATG